AAATATATTTAGTTTTTATTTGCCTTAGATGTTTCCTAATATAGCAAAAGTACGGAGCGATGATAATTTTATTATCTATTCATTAATTTTTTCGTTAATTCTTATAGGCTAGTAGGTGTAACTGGTGTAATGTCAACAAGTCATGCTACCATCTTCCAAGACTACCAGTTTTTATAAGTTCATGGTATAGTCCTGTAATTCGATGAATAGCTTGGCAAAGATGGTCAAAAACTAGAAAAAACTAGAAAAGGTTTCAATCCCCAGAAAATATTACACCAAATCTTTCATTTTAGACACCCAAATTGTCCTTTGTAAGGGTACAAGTTCATAATGACGCTAGGATTGTTTTCATAGATCTCTTTGTGATGTTGGTCGCTGATTTAGCATGGATGTTTTAACAGAAATCGCTTTCCAACTTCAATAATAAATACTTACTTGGTAATGATGCACCTACAACCGCTTTGCCAAATTATAACTCGCACGCTGTTACTAATTCTGATAATGCACATGAAATCATGACTCGTCAGTCATTGGTATTCATCGAGTAATTTGATGAGGAGAGAGATGGGAAGGTCAATTCAAATCTCAAACGAACATTTATATTAAATGCCATGTCAAAAAAGGTGGCGTGTTGAGATCTATAAAGTCAACATTCCCCGACACTACAAAGACAAATTAAATCGGTTAAGACTGCTCAAAAACTAACTGCATGCGTCTAAATACAAAATCAATTCACACCTCTTCTATCAGTTGACATGTACTCGCTCTTTAATTGTCATCATCAGTTGAATTATTATTTTCATCATTTTTATCAATTTTGAAGTACATGTAAATGGGGTTTGAAGCCCTTAAATCTGATCTAGAACCTAAGAATCGGCTTTTTTTTGTCATCCAGTTAGAAATTTAAACTAATAATAGACTCCAGCTGTTTCTATTTATAAATGAGAACCATACCTCCCGCCACTTCAATCCAGAAAGTTGAGTCCTTGCTCCCTTCGCAGTTTTTGGCGCTGCATGTGTATTGACCAGCATTTTCAAATTTCACTCGATCAATGGTGAGCGTGTTTTCACTACTAAGGTTCACCCCATTCTTCGTCCAGAGTACCTCAGGTTTAGGGAAACCTCTTAGAGAGCATTTGAACCGAAGGGGTGAATTATATAAAAATGACTGGTTCTTGAGCTGAGGATTCATTTCAGGAGGACCTAGTAATAGAATAAATGAGCAAAATTCAAAAACGGTAATAATAAGTTCGCGAAAATCAAAGAATTTGCATTTGTTTTGCACGACAAAAATAAGTCTATTATGTAATCGGAAAAAAAAAACTCTGGGAAAAAAAGGGGCTTTTAACTCAGCGCCCCATGTTGTTTTGCAAAGATAAATGAGGTGAGGAAGGGGATGGAGGTAATTTTCTAAATGAATTTTTGTTCTGCGTCAATAGTCGAAACGTCAACTTATAAAATCTTTACGGCGGCCAATTTAGATTTTCAACTCAGTTGATATAACCCCCTCTGCCTATGTATTACTATCCAATCAAAAATACACGATAAGCCACTTATACTGCACTGTGTTTCTTTCTATTATATCAGAATGGTAGCTAGATTTAAGAGCTTTTTTGACCCTTCAGTCAAGCCTGTGATATTTTTAATCTTGATTGACTGCGTCTCATTACGAGTTAAACATCACCGATTAACTTTGTGAATAGTTGCAAGAGAAGGAAATATACAAAGTAATTAATTCAAACATTTCATCGCCAATTCCCTTCAGATTTCGCTCAGGAATGAAAAATGTTACTCTATTTTTTTTCCAAGTTTATTTTACAATAGGTTTCATCACTTTGGCACTAACAGGTCTCAATCAAACCAAAATTTCACATTTGTGACATCAAAACTTTTTCCTTCTTACGATATGTTTTGTCTCTGATAACAGGGGGCGATAAAAAATTATGTACGTATACTCATTTATTTTGTTTTCTTATTGTTGGTTTAAAATGACGCAAACAACGTATATTATTATACTCCAAGATTGCCAGTTTATCTAAGTTCTTAGTATACACTTACTTCGGTTATAACATAGCAAATGATCAAAACAATATAAATTCAAATCTTAAAGGAACTTGTACGAGAAATGCTGTCACAAAATTGTGCCTTGTGATCTATAAAATAATTTTTTTTATCCAAAACAGTCCACAGTCCACCGTCTATCGAGAAACCCCCCTTCTTTGGGGTGTAAAGCTATATTTGGATAACGTAGCGCAAGTGGAAAAGGCGATAAACTTTCCACGGAAATAGGAATTTCCTTGACATTACCCCAATGTTATAGAAAAGGGATAAAATGAAGACCTCCTTTTGTATCTGATCCCTTTACTAAAATGTTACTTGAGGTATAGCGAAAAATTATATTATAGAGAAGTTCTCCTCTTGTTTAATTGTCTTCAAGCAGTTGATTCCTTTATTCAAATGTCCCTCCCCTCTTCTCTTCTCCCTTTTGACTGTCGCT